AATAGTTGCTGAAGTTTTACCATGAATGAGGCAATTTACCAAGTGTTAGGAATATGTCAAAGGGATGAGACATTAGATTACAGTCTACTAGGGAAGACAAAATATACATAACTAGAATAGAGTCAAAGAATAGAACCCTAAACGGAGTATGAACTAAAAAGAAATACTTCATGTGGGTGGTTGGACAAAGTTTATGAAGGTGATTATCCTCTATTTTCCTCCTTTTTGACAAAAGGAACAGAGGAAAATATAAACCTTTATAGGTCATTAGTTGTTAGCTTATTGTTATTAATATTAATAAGAAGAATTCATGGGCTCCTGGGTGGCTCATTCATTAAGCATCTGACTTTGGCTCAGGTCATAATCTCACAGTTCCTGAGTTCGAGCCCCCATCAGGTAGCATGTGCCCCGCTTTGGGTAAAACATGAGCCCTGGGTGAGCCCTGCTTCTCGCTCCCTCTGTCTCTCCCTCCTTCTGTCTCCGTCTCTCTTTGCCCCTAGCTTACTTGAGCCCTCTCCCTCCCTCTCTTTCAAAAAAAGATTTCATGAATATATGAATTACTACAGGAATGAAACATTATATGAAGACTAAAATCCCCTTTGACTATAACTTTCAATTTTTACCTTTTCATTACTCACCAATCTGGACTTGATATTTCCAGGTGTTTTACTATAGATTTACACACATTCACCAAACACATGAATCCAGAGAAAATATGAGCATAGTTTTATTTATAAGTTTTTAATACAAAATGATACATATTGTGTGTACCTTTCTGTAACTTGCCTTATAACCTCAATAATAGAGGCGTCTGAGTGGCTTAGTCACTTGAGCGTCCAACTCTTGATTTCTGTTCAGGTCATGATCCCAGGACCCATCCCCATGTTGGGTTCCATGCTGAGCATGGAGTCTGCCCAAGATTCTCTCTCTCTCTCTCTCTCTCTCTCACACACACACACACACACACTCTGCCCTTCTCCCCCACTCATTTGCTCTCTCTCAAAAAAAAAAAGAAAAAAAAAAGAAAAGAAAATGGGGCACTTGGTTGCCTCAGTCAGTAGAACATCTGGCTTTGGCTCAGGTTATGATCTTCGATTCATGAGTTCAAGCCCCACATCCAGCTGTCAGTGCAGAGCCCACTTCAGATCCTCTGTCCACCTCTCTCTTTCTGTCCCTGTCCCATTTGCTCTCTCTCAAAAATAAATAAACATTTGAAAAAAAGAAACTAAATTCAATAATAAATCTTGGAGGTCTTATTATATTAACACACATACATCCTTCTGTTGCATTGTGTTCCATATTATGAATATGCCACCATTTATACATCCCTTCCTCTATCAAAAAAGCAAATTTAGGAGGGATCAGCTTGCATTGTAATGGAAAGCCACGGCACAGAAATACAATTCAGCTATGCACATCTTGATCAATACCTGAAACATTACTAAATAACAGAGCATGACATATATTAGGTGTTTATTTGCAAAAGTAGTGGCATATTAAATAGCAAAATGAATGTTAGACATGAGTCTTTTTTTTTCTAAAGCAATCTGTACACCCAATGTAGGCCTTGAATTTACAACCCCAAGATCAAGAATTGCATACTCCACCAGCTGAACCTGCCAGGTGCCCAGACATGGGTCTTTAAATAAAGGTATGTAAGATAGATGTTTTGGCTAAAATATTTAGAGACGCATCCTGCTCTTGCACCAACAGAATACAAAATTTGAGGATGGTCTGTACCTTGGACCTTTATGAATGGAATTAAAGATTTTACCCTTAATAGATCTAGTGTCCATAAAGCTGAATGGCTAAACCAATTGTGATATACTCATATAATAGGATACTCAGAGTAGAAAGTCTAGAATGACTATGAATGATACAAACAAGAACATGAGTGAATCATGTTTAATGAAAAAACCAGGTATGAAAGAGTCCCTACCATATGGTTTCCCTGATTTAAAGTTCTAAACAAGTAAATTAATTTTTGGTGATAACAATAATAGTCATTGTCTTTAGGAGGGGGAAGACTGGAAAGGGACACGTGAAATCTTGCTTAGGTGAATGAAGTATTCTGCCTTCAGATTGTTTACAATTATCTTTGCCATCCTATCCCATTTTTAAAGACAGAAAAAAAGTCAGAAATAAGGATGTAATAAGGAAGTTACACGCAAGAAGGTGACTTGGAATTACAATCTGCAGACACATTCCCATTAGTGATTGAATGCTCATTTGTGTTTTAAGCCAAAGTAAAATATTGTCAGAAGTTGATTAGAACTCACTTCTGTGGCATAATGAGATTTTGTGTCAAATATGGACAAAATGGGAAAAATTGAAATTACATTCACTGATAACTCACATAATGACTCATATTATATTTCCAAATACTTCTTTATATAATTCTCGATCATGGGAAGTTTCTTATAATTATATAGAAACCATACAAAACAATAAAGAAATGTAATCTGCTTTGACGTCTCAGGCAGAGTTGAGAAGGGAAGGTGGGAGACGCTCTTCACCTGCTTGAGTGTCCTGGTGAATGAACACATGTGGTCCAGTTGGGAGAGAGAAACTGCACTGTAAATTGATTAGGGAAGACCTAAAAGAATTATTAACTACAACAGAGTATTGGAATAAAAAGGGAACGACTAGTAGGGAGACAAGAGACTTCCACAGAAATAGCAGATGTAAAGTGTAGCCACTGCCCCCACAACTCGGATACAGTATGCAAAAGAGAGGTTCCCATCTGCTCCAGGACTGAGACTCAGACCTTGAAGAAGACACACTTGTGGCTCACCGGATGACAGGGAAGTCACTATGGTTCTGAAACAGTGGGCCTTGCTGGAAATCCACCCTTGAGAACTTGTCAGAAAACCATCCTTTGGGGTGCTGGGAAAAGATGTTCACAGGGACATGTCTAGGGGGAGGCACTCTTCAAGTGCCTAAAAATGGGGGTGCTAAGGGAAGACACTGTCCTCTGGGCGCTGCTGAACACTGCCCTGCAGGGAGCCGGTGCGGGTGACTGCGTGAGCTGATCCCTGGAGACTCCACCGGGCTGCAGGAGCTTGCCAGAGGGAACACAGAGCCCAGGAGGCAAATCCCTTTCTTCTCCCTACTGAAAACATTTAACGTTGTGCCAACTGGCGAAGAAAATATTTGAAGGGCCCACATCTATTTTTAAGAGCAAGCAAAAGATGAATTGGAGCTGAGAGTCAATAAATCGATCCCACCCCTTTGACTACTCGGCTTCGTATGTAACCTTCTACACATATTTGAAACACCTGTAACAACTAAAGAACTCAATATTTTTACCTCCTTCAAGATACTGCTATCCTTCTTAGCAAGTGAAAAACTTCTCACCCTTCTCCCAAAATGAGGAGATGCCTGGATACGATTGTGCCATCACTGAGGTTATTAATAACTCCTCAGATTCAGAGCCTCTCTAAAATCTCCTGTTACTTATATGCTAAAATGTAAAGTTAATTTCCAATAACTTGTATATAAAATGAAAATGGGAAAGAGAGTAGAAGGAAAGATTTAGCACATACAAGTAAGCATGGATATTCAACAAGCAAAAACAAAATATGCAAAATACTATGACTTTGGCTACACTTAACATGGTGAGCTTTTTTTTTTTTAATGTTTATTTACTTTTGAAAGAGAAAGACAGAGTGTGAGTGGAGGAGGGGCAGAGAGAGAGAGGGAGATGCAGAATCTGAGGCAGGCTCCAGGATCTGAGCTGTCAGCACAGAGCCCGACGCAGGGCTCAAACCCAGTCCATGAGATCATGACCTGAGCTGAAGTCGGACGCTTAACCGACTGAGCCACCCAGGTGCCCCAACATCGTGAGCTTTGAATGATCTATAGAATTGTCAAATCTGTGGGGCGCCTGGGTGGCTTAGTCGGTTAAGCGTCCGACTTTCGCTTAGGTCACGATCTCACGGTTCGTGGGTTCGAGCCCCGCGTCGGGCTCTGTGCTGACTGCCAGCTCAGAGCCTGGAGCCTGTTTCAGAGTCTGTGTCTCCCTCTCTCTCTGACCCTCTCCTGTTCACGCTGTCTCTCTCTATCCTAGAAATAAAATAAAAATATTAAAAAAAAAAAAGAATTGTCGAATCTGTATGTTGTACATATGAAATTAATATAACGTTACATGTTCATTATACTTCAATTTTTAAATGTTCTACAACTTTGCTTCTGTAATTAATCACAAGGATATAATTGACATCTATTGTTTCCTTCATCAGTCCCTACTCTATATTTCCCCTGCCCTCAGCCAATTTGGTTTGGGTGGCTGTAGTTTTCCATTAAACTTCACCATTGAGCATGAAAGTACTAAGAGGCTCCAAACATTGTATTCTTGCTTTTATTGTGTAGAAGCAACACATTATCTTCTTATTAATCAGGATCAACCACTTCAACCAATAGATACTTTTCTTTATGTTGGTTCAGTGGTTGAAACCAAAATGTCCAGGAGTTACTTTTATCATCCATTGAGTAGAGTGATTTTTTTGTCTCCTGGCAGAAGAATTCTTCCCTTAAGACTAAGATCTCCAAATCTACACAGCATAAAGATGGGAATATTAAAGTCTGATACTGGGTTATTAGCTATAATAATGAGAGGAGCCACTCCCACCTCTACCTTTTGATTCCAAGACCCATGGATTCTGGCTAAATGAAAGACAATAACACTTAGAGTATCACAAACTTCTCTGATTTGATGCACATGCTGAATTTTATTTAACAAAGACACACCCATCCATTCAGGTGTTTCTTCCAATTGGCATTGTAACTCAGTCTTTAGTCAGATAGTCTGTCTTTCAATTAGGCCAACCGCTTCCAAGTCGTGAGGTATGTGGTAAGACTGGTTAATTACATGAAAAGTCAGAATTATTAGTTTGATTGATAAAATAGCTCAATAACTTTATTCTTAATATAAATCTTTATTGTAGAAATTTCCTCATAAAAACATATACAATCATATAAATAAGTAACAAACTTCCTTATTAAGGAAGAAAGGGAAGGAGGGAGGAAGTCAGGCTACTTGGATTTCTCAGGCAAAGTTAAGGTTTGGGAGGTGGGGGTATGATCTCCCAACTGCTTGGGGTCCTTGGTGTAAAACCCATTTTTTCACACTCAGCTTGAGTTCAGAATCAAAGAAATTGGTAGTTCTCCTTCTCACACTAATGTGCATAAAGTGCCCACCATAGTCCCTGCAGGCAATGTGGTTGAGCAGACGACAGTGAGTCACCTGAAAATAGAGGTAGAAGAGATTATAGTCCAAAAATAAAAAGGGATGGAGGAAAAGAGAAAGACATTAAAGGAATATACATTTCTTATTCCAGAGCTTATGTCTCTAATACCTCCATTTACATTCCTTATGGCCTTCCAGCAATCACTCAAACACATTTTTTAAATATAACCATATCACCATGTCCTAAAAATTACTGTTGATCTCCAAATGTATCTTGGTGATGATCTACTTACTCTCTATATATTTTGAGAGCTCCTGGGCACTTACCTTTCTATACATGATAGAGTAAGCCAAGAAGCACCTAGAAACCTCCCTCTTTCTCCTTCTCCCCTTTCTTCAGTATATTTGTTATCTCCAAGGTTTCAAGAACAAGGGCCATAAAAGCTTCTTACACAATTCTTTCCATTCCACTCAAAACAGGTTTATACTGGGTTATAGTTTATACTGGGTCAAGGAACCCCTAGTCTTTCTGCAATTCTTATCAATATTTCTAGCAGAGTTTGGCATTGCTAAACTTACTATATAATTAATTATAATGATGTTAACATATAAGAATCAATCTCTAGGGGAAGCTGGGTGGCTCAGTCAGTTAAGTGACTGACTTCAGTTCAGGCCATGATCTCACAGTTCATGAGTTTGAGCCCCACATTGGACTCTGTGCTGACAGCTCAGAGCCTGAAGCCTGCTGTGTCTCCCTCTCTCTCTGTCCCCTGCTCATGCTCTGTCTCTCTCTCAAAAATAAATAAATATTTTAAAAATCATTAAAAAGGAATTAATTAAAAGTTTTAAATAAAGAATCACTCTCTAATATTCCAACAGTGAAATCAAACAAGGAAAGGGTGAAAGAATGGAGAAAATAATGGTCCATTGCTGGAAGCAGCAAAAGAGATTATATCCACATCTTTCTGGTGTAGATTTGTAGAATTTAACTTACAAAAGTTGAGGTGTCTGGATGGCTTAGTCGGTAGAGTATCTAACTCTTGTTTTCCACTCAAGTCATGATTTCACAATTTGTGGGATCAAGCCTCATGTCTGGCTGTGCACTGACAGTGCAGAGTCTGCTTAAGATTCTTTCTCTCCCTCTCTCTCAGCCCCTTCCTTGCTTGTGCTCTCTCTCTCTTTCAAAAATAAAAAAATAAAATTATATTAAATAAATAAATAAATAAGCCAAAGGAATAGGGGGCTACTTTTACCAGTGAGACAAAATCTTTGGATAAACACTAATGGATTGATCCCTTCATCTTCCTGCATTATTTTTTAAATAGATCTCAAAACTAACATGACCATGACAGGGTTTTAAGCCTTTCATGGTTCTAATCAATCTCCAACAGCTGAACAATAATTTTCCAGAATCCCTTTTAAATAAAGGAACTGACACTCAGAAAGTATTCTGACACATTCTGACCAGCATAGTGAGATGTAGGGGGCGGGGAGTTCCAAGAAAATGATCTGTGAATGACGAAAGAAACAAGGAGGCAAACTTTTCAGGGAAAGAACATGAAGAGGTCTTGTTTTGTTTTCTGAATTGGTTGAGAGATAAAATGATAAATGAAGACTCATATAGTTAGCCCCTTAGGCAGTCAACCTCAAGGCCAGTCTTTGAGCATCTGATTATTACATGATCAGAACACTATCTTCTCCATCATTCTATAATAGTATTTATATTCATGTTGTTTCTATGAAGAGCAAAAGCCTGTTAAATTAAGTTTATCAGACATGGAGCTGTAGAATTATGTAGAAATATCTGGGTATGCTCAGCTCTATTTGCCTCATTTGTCATCATACAGCAAAAGATCTTCAATAATACCACAGGAAGAAGCTATCAGTCTCCAAAAACTCCCTTACCATGGGTGGTTTGTGCTCAGCTCCCCCTGCAGTCCCAGGCACTGTGTCACTCACAGCACAGAAGTACTTGGCTGCATCGTTCCATTGGACTGCTAGTTTCTTCAGGTGGAAGGACTTTTCATTCTTCCTAAATTCAGCCTCGAAATCTTTGATGCCTTGAACCAGGGTGTCTAATGACCCTGAAAAGTGCTTGAGGAGAAGCTGGAGTCCTTGGCTGGGGTGCTGCATGTACCAGAAGAGATAAGGACTTACACTAGAGGAATAGTTGCACCTCAGCTCCAGACGGGCTCCTTCAGAGACAGTGACATGGACATCAGGCTGGGTCACTGACTGAGCTCTGGTGTCTCCTGCAAAATCAGTGTTCTATCAGTGAAAACAGTGCACACTTCACAATGAAAAGTCAGTATTTCAGGTCAGAATCTGTAGAACTATAGACTAATACAAAATTTTACTCACGCAGGGCAAATATCCCCAGTGTTGAGATGAGCAACAGGAACATGGCTGACCAGTAGAAAGGCTGTGGGCTCTTTTCAGGAAAATCTCCCCTGAGCAGACAGGAAATTGGCTGAGGAAACCAAGCCCTCGGATATAAGAGGGATGGAGAAAGTAAAGTTGGACAGGCTCCTTGCTGAGATAAAAATGTAAAAGCTCCGGAGATGAGCCTGGAGCTTTCTGACAAACGATTCTTGTCGCTGTCTCTGCCTGCAAAGAGCTGAGCCAGCTGCAAGGGGGAGGGGCTGAGCAGATGATGTGGAGCAACAAGATCTCTAGTTTGTGCAGCATCGTCCCCTGAAGGCCCCTCCAAGAACTAATTCGTATGTTCCTTTTGTTTTCGGAGGTATGAAAACTTCCACACAATTTATTTCTTCCTTCCCAAGCCTATGATGGTGTATTCTTCCTAGAGTCTCTTAGAAATGAGGTGTTCGTATAAAAGTAAACTAACAAATAATTTCACTGAATAATCAGTTTTTAAAAAATATCAGACTCAGAGCTCAAGTTACAACCCAACATTTAAATATTTAATATGCATTCAACCCTTATCAAAAAACTGCCAGCATTTTTCACAGAGATGGAACAAACAATCCTGAAATTTGTATGGAACCACGAAAGACCCCAAAGCAATCCTGAAAAAGAAAAACAAAACTGGAGTCATCACAATTTGGGATTTCAAGCTGTATTACAAAGCTGTAGCACCAAGGCATCTTGGTATTGGTATTGGTACAAAAACAAACATGCAGATCAATGGAACACAATAGAAAACCTAGAAATGGACTCACAACTATACGGTCAACTCATCTTTGACAAAGCAGGAAAGAATATCCAATGGAAAAAAAGACAGTCTCTTCAACATATGGTGGTGGGAAAACTGAATGGCAACATGCATAAGAATGAAATAGACCACTTTATTACACCACACAAAAAAATAAATTCATAATGGAGGAAAGACCTAAATGTGAGACACAAAACTATCAAAATCTTAAAGAATACAGGCAGCAACCTCTTTGACCTCAGCCACAGCAACTTCTTACTAGACACATGGCCAAAGGCAAGGGAGACAAAAGCAAACATGAACTATTGGGATTCATCAAGATAAAAACCTTCTGCACAGCAAAGGAAACAATCAACAAAACTAAAAGACAGCCTACGGAATGGAAGAAGATATTTGCAAACAATATATCTGATAAAGGGTTAGTATCCAAAATCTAAAGAACTTATGAAACTTAACACCCAAAACCCAAATAACCCAGTTAAGAAATGGGCCAAAGACATGAACAGACACTTTTCCAAAGAAGACATCCAGATGGGGGCACCTGGGTAACTCATTCAGTTAAGTGTCCGACTTCGGCTCAGGTCATGATCTCACGGTTCGTGGGTTTGAGCCCCGTGTCAGGCTTTATGCTGACAGCTAGCTCAGAGCCTGGAGCCTGCTTCAGATTCTGTGCCTCCCTCTCTCTCTGCCCCTCCCCTGCTCACGATGTCCCTATCTCTCTCTCAAAAATAAATAAAACATTAAAAAATTTAAAAAGAAGACATCCAGATGGCTAACAGACACATGAAAAGGTGCTCAACATCACTCATCATCAGAGAAATAGAAACCAAAACCACCATGAGACACTACTTCACATCTGTCAGATGGCTAAAATGAACAACTCAGAGGACAGCAGATGTTGACTAGGATACAGAGAAAGGTATACACTTTTGCACTGTTGGTGGGAATGCAAACTGGTATAGCCACTCTGGAGAACAGCATGGAGGTTCCTCAAAAATTAAAAATCGAAGTACCCTATGACCCAGCAATTGCACTACTAGGAATTTATCCAAAGAATACAAAAATGCTGATTTGGGGTGGGGGGGCGCGCACATACACCCCAGTGTTTACAGCAGCATTATCAACAATAACGAAATTATGGAAAGAGTCCAAATGTCCATCATCTGATGAGTGGATAAGGAAGATGTGGCAGTTATAGGTGACATAGATAGATATAGATATAGAGATATAAATGGAATATTGCTTAGCCATAAAAAAGAATGAAATCTTGTCGTTTGTAATGACGTGGATGGAACTAGAATGTATTATGATAAGTGAAATAAGTCCATCAGAGAAAGACAAATACTATATGATTTCACTCATATGTGGTATTTAAGAAACAGATGAACATATGGGAGGAGAAGAAAAGAAGAGAGGAAAACAAACCACAAGAGACTCTTAAGGATAGAACACAGAGGGTTGACAGAGGGAGGTGGGTAGGGGATGTGCTAAATAGGTGATGGGTATTTAATGAGGGCACTTGCAATGAGCATTAGGTGTTGTATGTAAGTGATGAATAACTGAATTCTACTCCTGAAACCAATATTGACTGTATGGTAACTAACTAAATTTTAAATTTAAAAAAAGTGTTTAAAAAAGGTGCATTCCAAAATTATTCAGCATACAAGGAACCAGAAACATTGACCAATATCTGAGTGAAAGATAATCTACAATTGTAAATGTCAAGATGGGCTAAGATGCTGGAACTAGTAGACTAAGAAGTGAAAGCAACTTTTTAAACTGTATTCCCTGAAGCAAAAAGAAGCCCATTTGAAATGAATGATAAGATAGGTATTCTCAACAAAGAAAGAGAAATGACAAAAAGAAGCAAATGGAAATTTTAAGACTGGAAAATACAATACATGAAATAAAATCCCACAGTAGGGCTCAATAACAGAATAAAGAGAACAGATAAAAGAGTAAGTGAACTTGAAAACAGATCAATAGAAATGATCGAACTCAGTGATTACCAACAAAGGATTACTCTTCCTCCTGAAGGAGACATTTCATAAATCTGGGCACACTTCTGGTTGCCACAATTTGTGGGGGTAGAGTGCTAGTGGCCCCTAGTGGGTGGAGGCTAGGTGTATTTCTAAAATCCTACAATTCACAGGACAGTCTCCTCCCACAAAAATTATTTGACCCAAAATGTTAATAGTTCCAAAGTCAAGAAACCCTAATCAAAAGTTAAGAACAAGAAAAAAAAATTACAACAAAAGATGGATGCAACCCTAGAGACCTATGCATCAACATCAAAGAGTCTCAAATATATTTTTGTAGAGCCCCAGAAGGACAGGAGAGAAAGATTAGAGCAGAAAACATACTTGAAAAGAGAATGGCCAAAAACTTGCCAAATTTTATGAAGGCATAAGTATAAAAATTCAAGAATCTTAGCAAACCCTGAACAGGATAAAACCGAAGAAAATTGCACTTAAACACATCATAACTGAACTATTAACAATAAAAAATTATATAATAATATAATATATAATATATGCAAAATAACATACATATAAACATATTGGCTAGAGAATATATATATTATATATACACTTCAAATATGTGCAGTTTATTAAACTTCAGTTACAGATTAGCAAAAGGCAAATGCTGTATCTAAGACTAGTCATTCAGTCTTTATGCATAAGTATATATATATTGAGCTAGAAAAGAAAACAAGACATTATACATTATATTGGGGAGCAATTATTTTAATGACCATGGATTTCTCATCACAAAACATGGAGGCAGTGAAACAGCATCTTTAAAGCACAGAACAGCAACACCTATCAACACAAAATTAAGGATCCAGTGGAAAAACCTTTCCGAAATAAAGATGAAATAAAGATGGTTTCAGCTGAAGAACAACCAAAAAACACAGACTTCTTTTTCTTTAAGTTTTAAAATGCATACAACTATTTCAAGCAAAAATTATAACATTCAGGGGTAAGGTTTTCAATGTGTATAAATGTGATAAATATAAACAACTATAACAGACTTCAGGACTGGTGGGTTAAGAGCTATATAGTGCAAGATTTTAACATTTTACATGAAACAATATGTTAACTCTCAGTAGTCTCTTAATAATAGGTATATACATTGTAATCTCTAGAACCACACTCAAAAAATGCAAACAGATATAGCCAAGAGTCAATACATAAAATGGAATATTAGAAAGTATTCAAGTAATCCAAAATAATCAGGAAAAAATGGGAAAGAGAATTAAAAAATAAAGATAGATCAGGAAAAACAAAACAGAAAAACAATAATAAAATAGTATGCATGCAGTACCTAAATCTATGCAAAGTAATGCACAGCAAAAGAGAGAAGATGATTTCCTGAGGTCACAGGTAGAGGGAGGGACACCCATTTGGGATGATGGAAAGGTTCATTACCTTGATTGTGGTATATACATATGTTGAAACTGATCAAATTATACACTTCAAATATGTACAGTTTTTTGTACTTCGATTATAGATTAGCCATATCTAAGAGATTGGCATCCAGCCTTTACGCTTACCAATTCACATTCCTTCTGCAATACCCAACATGAATCCCGATGAACTAAAAAATAACTCTGGGAGAGCACTTGTGATGACCACTGGGTGTTGTATTTAACTGATGAATCACTGAGTGCTACTCCTGAGACCAATATGGCACTATATGTTAACTAAGTAGAATTTAAATTTAAAAATGTTTTATAAATGTGTTTTTTAAATGTTTTATTTATTTCTGAGAGAGAGAGAGAGAGGCAGCGTGAGCAGGTGAGGGTCAGAGAGAGAGGGAAACACAGAATCTGAAGCAGACTCGAACTCACGAACAGTGGGATCATGACCTGAGCTGAAGTTGGACGCTTAACCAACTGAGCCACTCAGGTGCCCCAATAAATTTTTTTTAAAAGGAAAAAAATAACTGTTTTCCTCCTTCTTCCTACCCCAATGTCCCAAATCCTGAGGAAAATGTGTCCTAGACTGTTTTGTATTAAACTCATCAAAACTCTCCACTATTTTGCAACAATAATGAGGCCAATACCCAGGAGGTGTTCAGATGCATCTCCATCCTTTCTCTGTCAAGTACACTGCCCAAGGCTGCCTCCAAATCTAGCTTCTCTACCCTCCATCCTTTTCTGCCACGTGAAAAGGAGACTCCAGCGTGCTACCGGGCTCATCAGAGACCAGACTTGTCCCTACTACATACATTATATCTACTCAAAGAGTCATGTTGCATGTGTGAGGAGAAAAGCCAAAAAGACCTTCTTCAGCCAGATCTACGATTGCTCAAAACTTCTGATTAAGTTCTTGTTCAATCTCCTCCTTACAATTGGCAATGTGATCTTTGTACATCAGTATATAATATAGAGTGATCTACTCTATATATGAATATATATACATATAGAGAGAGTACATAAGTATTCTATATTAAATCTTACGACACATGCTTACGAGGCATTTGAGTTCTGGTTTTGCTCCTAACAATCTTTGTGATTATGGGTAAGTGACTTAAATTCTTTGTGCCTCAGGATCCTCACGTACACAATGAGCATAGTTATAGATATAACAAGTTTTTAGAGAAATGATATGACGCACATAAAGGACATAGAATAACAGTAATATGGAATCAGCCTTTTAATAGGATATATGGTCTATTACAGAGGGCAGCAGATTTTGTCTGCTCTATGTATTATTCTTTGTTGAATAGATTTGATTAATGAAAAAAATCAGTAGCTTTTTTGTAGTAGCAGTAATGGGTTTTCCTACTCAGTTGTTAATTTAACAAATATTTGAAGAGGCTCTACTATGGTGCAGGCACTATTCCAATTGCAACAAATATAGAAATTTGACTTTATGTGCATGGAGAACATCAGTCTACATCTGCCATGTGAATTCTCTGAAAAGATAATGAAAGAAATGTTGCAACTTCTCTTTTCACATGTGGGGTCATATGTAGGATGCTCCGTTCCTCCTTTCTTCCTTATATTTCTTTCTTCCTTTAAGAATCTATTGTTTCTTGGGCTCTAGTTTCTCTAGAAATCATTCTTTCTTGCCCCCGTTTGTCAGGGAGACATTACGCATTTGCAACCTCATCTGTTACAGGTGTGTCTTTAAATATAATGTTTCCCTGGATGACCTGGAATAAGGTTGGGGAGCTAGAATTTCATGGAAGGATGAACACATAGATCATTACATTCATCTTAGTTTTATGCAAATTTCAGCAATGATAGAGGAACTATGGTGGGTTGGGTTTGGCTTTCACCATTGAAAGCATGTTCACTTCTCGTTTTTCCACTGTGTTCTCAGAGTTGATTTCGATGACTGTCACACCAACAAGAGCCCCTGGGGTGAACCGAGAGTGACAACACGGTAGACTCCTCCTGTTTCCTGAACCAGAGTGGATCATAAGCTCAGACGCTCAGCATCTGGGCCCTTGTTCTGCTCAGAGTTTGTGCTCAGCTCCCCCTGCAGTCCCTGTCATTGTGTCACTCAGGGCACAGTAGTACATGGCCGAATCTGACGCTTGCACTGAGGACTTCTTCAAGTGGAAAGAGTTTGGCTCTTTGCGGTAGGTGGCTTCAAAACCTTTGCTGCTTCCCTTCTCGTTGGCTTTCATAGCCTTCAGGAGGAGCTGTGGCCCTTGTCCGGGATACTGGACATACTGGAAAAGGGCAGAGTACTCTGTGGGTTCACAAAAGCAGTTCACAATCAGAGAAGCCCTCTCTGAGAGGATCATTTGGCCTTCCGTCTGGTTCACTGAGTCTCCCTTGCTTCCTCCTGGAATGGAAACAAAACAGTAGTTCTGGTCACCTCAGGCATGATCTGGGTTCTACCTCTTAGAGAAAATTGTAGTTGAAGATGACACCAATATAATAGAACAAAAACTTTTAGGCTTTATGTGCCATTTTGCCTACCAAACATCAACGATAACACAAGCACGGATCCTGGAGAAGAGCTCGTTCTTAGGATCTCCAGTGTCCTTGTGTCTTGACTGCTTAGTGGGAGAAAAAGTTAAGGTCACGGAGAAGGATGAGTGTGAGCTCAGAATATAAGCAGGAAGCGTGTGTGTGTGTGTGTGTGTGTGTGTGTGTGTGTGTGTGTGTGATGCACCCCCTTGTGGGCAAAGTAATAAACTCAGAGCAGTGTTAACCTCTGAACTTGTTCTCTTCTCTCTTTTTTTTTATATATATATTTTATTTGTTTCTAGGAGAGAGAGAGAGAGACAGCGTGAGCAGGGGAGGGTCAGAGAGAGAGGGAGTCACAGACTCTGAAACAGGCTCCAGGCTCTGAGCTGGCAGTCAGCACAGAGCCTGACGCGGGGCTCGAACCCACAAACCGCGAGATCATGACCTAAGCGAAAGTCGGACGCTCAACCGACTAAGCCACCCAGGCACCCCTCCTCTCTATTTTCTATCTATCTCCTCTTCTATCTTTACCTCTGGCTCTATTTTTATGACACCTATTAGCTGTCAAGATGGTCCTTTGTAAATCTAAAGAATAGTTGCTTTTTATCATAAATCTGTTTTTCCCCAGCCTACTGCCTAATATGGAAGCTCCATACTGTGACGTTTCCAAGGAGAATTCGATTTTACTTTTTTCCTTTTTAGCCATTTTGGGCCTCTTAGTGATATACTGAAATATTATTTAGGTAACTTTTAGGATAAAATCAGAGGAATGTCAATAATACATCTTCAGTCATTAATAGATGATTTTGGATGGCAGAAACTTAAACTTTTTTTCACTACTCTAATCCCACACTTAGAATAATGTTGGACACTTAGCAGGTGGCCAACAAATTTCTTAAGTGCACAGATAAATGAACAATTCCTGCTACTTGAATTATGATATTGCCTCACATGTAAGACATCAATTATGAGAAACATAATATAATAAAAGCTCTCAAAAGGAAAATGTAAATTTTATGTTTATATATATTAAAAAGTAAAAAATATGTAACTTTGTATTAGAGAAATATAATCATTAAAGCTATTGAATCTGCATAAAGTTACCTGGCATTATTTTCTTCTTCCTTAGGATTTTAAGGATTCTCAGATAACCTAATTGGCCTGTGTGCCTCAGAAGAAATGCTCTGATACTAAACTTTAAGTGGAAATTTTGCCTCAAACATGCTCTCTGCATATGTCCATCTGCCAACATTATTGGCCAATATGATCTGTGTAAATTCAACAAAATAGCTTTTACCACAGGATAGGATAGTCAGATAATATAGATTTGCCTCAGAAGACAAAACAATGAGCTCAATCTCAGCTTCCGGAGTTGGTAGGGACATGTCTGATGATATACAGAAACATTTTATAGCAATAGTGAAACTCTTTTGTAAATAAGAGTTAGTTGGGAGGCTCCTGAGGGGCACAGTCAGTTAAGCAGCCAACTCTTGATTTCAGCTAAGGTCATGCTCATGGTTCGTGACTTTGAACCACTCATTGGACTCCATGTTGACAGTGTGGAGCCTGCTCGGGATTCTCTCTCTCTCTGTGTGTGTCTCTCTCTCTCAAAAATAAATAAACTTTAAAAATAAACAGGTAGTTGGTCGTCAACTTAAAAAATACAGATTTGGAGACCTCTCTGCTTAAAAAAGCATAATCTCTAGAAGTTAGATTTGGGAAGTTAAAAATCTCAGGTGGTTTGTGATGGAGCCAATATCAAACAACTTTATAACATAACCTTTAGGAACCCTGAACTAAGAGGACATTTGAGGTCTCTGTGAAGCATTTCTGGGGTCAGCATGAGAAAACACCTCCATTCTTCACAGAATTTTAAAGCCGGTCTCTTTTCATGGTAGTACCGATGTCACAGCAGTAAAAACAATCACTGCTTACTCTCACTATTCTTGCCCATTCAACTCAGAACAAAAAATTTCAGATGTTCACAGTACAAACTTAGAGAAAAGGGTGCCTTCTATCTGTCAAGTCCTGTTAATATTTATCTTTGAAATGGAAGCCTTTTTCAGTGTGTTTCCTGGAAAACTTCCACTCCATGAATTCAGACAAGGCAGCTTCATGTTCCTGATTCAAGCTATACATAGTAACAAGCTTCAGACTTGGATAGAAAATTTAGGTCCCGATATTGCCTCGGATATTGTTTCAGTTCATAACTACCTCTCTCTCTTCCTTTTCCCATCTACCTTGTGTCAAATCTCTGTGAGCAAGCAGTATCTTCCTCCTTTGTCCCTCGCCCTTGGTCTCATCCATGCCTCTACCCTACTCCAGCTGGGGCCCAAGTAGAAATAACCTGCAAACAGTCCCAGCTTCCATGATTTTCTTCACCTATTCAAGTCAACCTTGCCCCTTGCTTTTGTTGTGTTGCAAAATGAGGGAATCTATCATCCATACTATGAATTCATAAGTAGAGGAATGCCATAGAGGAATTGGAGCAGATTTGAGTGGAATGTGTCAGAACTGTGATCAATAACAAAAATTGCTTAAAGTTTACTACTAGTTAATAACAGATTTTATTCGGATATCCTGACTTCAAGAGCTCACAAGCTCTGCTTAAGGGACTTAGATTAACCCAAATCCATTAGTCAAAAGTCAGTCAGGAAAACAGAAACAAGTCCAAATATTTTAAGTAGAAAGAAATGTAATATAGGGAATTAGACAAGCAGACACTGGAAGATCTGACAAAACAAGATGGCAAAGACTGATGACTTGAAACTCTGAAGTAAAGGGGCACCTGGCCAGCTCAGTCAGAAGAGCATGTAGCTCTTGATATCGCGGTCATGAGTTCAAGCCCCACATTGGGTAGAGAGATTACTTCAACAAATAAAACTTTAAAAATAAATATATGAAAGAAACTCTGAGGTATAATGAATCCAGCTGCCTGCAACACCAAAGTGAGTGATTCTCAGAAAGAAACCCAGAAGTCAAACAGAACCTCGACCTGTAATCTGAACTGCCTGCCTACACAGCCAATACAGAAGAATAAAGTCTTCTCCTTCTCTTCCACTTTCCTAATATCGCAGAAATGCTTCTCAAATACTAAACTTAAACTAGTTGATGAAAGAAAAGGATTGTGGGAAATGTAGTTTGGGTTTCTCCTCAGTAAAATGGGGAAGTGTATTATAAAGGGATAAGGAAGGGGCACCTGGGTGGCTCAGTCAGTTAAGTGACCGAGTCTTGATTTCAGCTCAGGTCAGGATCTGATGATTCATAGGATTGAGTCCTACATGAGACTTCATACAGATAGCACAGAGCATGTTTGGGATTCTCTCTCTCCCTCTCTCTTTCTGTCTCTTCCCTGCTCATGCTCTTTCATTCACTCTTTCAAAATAAATAAATAAACTTAAAAAAATAAAAGTAAAGGGATGAGGGAGATGCTGGTGGGCAGCATACAGGCAGCGCTTCTGTTAACTAAGTCTTTATCTAAACCTAGAAGCACTAGCTGAACTGTGTTCTGTAATCAGAGCTCTGCAGTAATTAGATCAGATAGAAGCTGAATGTGGAGTATGACCACTGTAACATTTCATAAAGAATTTTTATCTTTTTTTTTTCCAAAATGGTGGGGCTGAACATGAAAAGAACCACCACACAGGAAAAGCAGGAGTTAAACTAACAATAAATACACTATCTTCTATTATTACATGAAAGTCTTAAGTCATTATTTAAAAAACCTCACAGTGAGTTTAGAATTCCTTACTAACTGAAGCTCCCAAAGTTAAGTTTTTCTTGTCCTATCAATTCCTCTCAGATTTATTGTCTATTTGCTAAAAACTCTAAATGTTGTCTGCTTTGATCATTTCTTTAGATTTCAATTTCATTATTAGGTGTCCATAGGCAAGTAATAGAATTCTGGGTTTTTTTTTCTCCTGTTAATGTCACATGTAAATTTAATTCTCCATCCAGTTGGAAGAATATTGGACCAAGGAAAATTTCTTCCTCCTCTTCAAATCCCAAACAGTAAGAACCAATTTTTAACATTCTAACAGTAAATTCATTTGAAAATAGAACAAGAGTAAAAAAAGAAAACAATGACCTCATCTGTCAGAAAATTAGCCAAAGTTACTATCCCACCAATTGTGAAGGTTTCTGATATAGGTTTGGAGAATTTAAGATATCAAAGAATGGAAATCTGTTGTTATAATTGATAAAAAGAAACTACCTTAACTTTAAAATAAGTAGAATTTGGTATCTAGATTGTCTCTTGCATCCTTAATAGTCCTTGAAGAAATACTAAAAAAACATATGCCTTATTCACCATTCTTTCTGCAACATTCCGGGTAAGTTGCTAAAAATCTCTGTGGCTATACCATATTCCTTGCTACTCACCACCCCAACCATCTCCTCCCTCCTAGATGGGCACCTCAAAATGAGGGGAAATACCAGCACAGAGTGGATCCAGGAAGAAAGATTCCAAGAAAATGATCTTAAAATTGTCAAGTTGGGAAGGCAACTTTACAAAATTACCAAGTGTGTAAGAAGGAAATATGTCTACGAAAGGAGTTTGCTTTGTTAAGTTTATTGAAAGAGACAATCATGAATGAAAAGTAAAATGCTCCGCCATGCTGGGTCCTAACATTCATATCCAACCTGTTGGGGCAGATGCGCCCCACACTTGCCCAGCCAGTCCCTGAGCACCTCTGTCCTGTGTGTCCCACTAGGTCAGAGTCCAAAACCTTTCAGATGCACTTAGCCTCCTTAGTGCCTCAAGAGGTTTGTGCTCAGCTCCCCCTGGGGCCCCAGGCACTGTGTCACTCGCAGCACAGAAGTACTTGGCCACGTCGCTCCAATGGGCTGAGTGTTTCCTCAGGTGGAAGGAGGTTTCATTCTTCCTAAATTCAGCCTCAAAACCTTGGATGCCTTGAATCAGGGCATTTGGTGGCCCTGAAAAGTACTTGACCAGAAGCTGGAGTCCTTGGTTGGGGTACTGCACGTACCAGAAGAGATTAGGAGTTGCCCCATAGGAGTAGTTACACCTCAGCTCCAGACGGGCTTTTTCAGAGACAGTGACGTGGGCATCAAGCTGGGTCACTGACTGGGCTCCGGTGCCTCCTGCAAAATCAATACTGTATTAGTGAAAGCAGTGCAGACTTGGCTATGAAAAGTATTTCTACTAAATTTGAATAAGAAAAATTATTTCTGTAGAAGGAAGGACCATAATAGGATATTACTTACTCAGGGAAAAAAGCATCCCCAATACCCAGATGAGCAACATGAGCATGGCTGAGCACTGGAGACACTGCAGGCTTCTTTCTAGAAGATCTTCCCTGAGCAAGCAGGAAAGCAGCTGTGGAACCCAGCTCTTAGAAATAGGAGATGTGAGTAAGGTTGAATTAGGTAAGTCCCTTGTTTAGGTAAAAATACAAGAACTGCTTAGATGATCTTAAGTAGTTTCTGCCCTCTGAATATCTCACTTGTCTTAACCTCAAAGAACTCAGACAGCGGGCTTCAGCCCCCTAGCTTCAGGCAGAAGGAGCTCAGGGGAAGGTGCTGAACTTCAACAAAAAGAGAGATGTCTAATTTGTGCAATAGCACCCTCTGGAGTCCAGACACAGGACAGAGGATCCAGACCACCCCCAAGGCTAATCTGTGCTTTCCTTCTATTTAGAGATACATCAAAAATTTTCACTGACCAGATTTTCTTTCTCCCCTAACATATAATATATTGCCTTCTGTAGTCAGTGATATTAATTCTTGTCTCTATGAATAATAGGGCCTGTAAAATAGGGGAGTAATTTACAGAGAAACTGATTATATAGCAAATCTATCAGACTTCAGAATGCATTAGAGCTTTCATGTAGAAGCAATGGAGCTATTCTTTTTTTTTTTTTAATTTTTTTAATGTTTATCTGTTTTTGAGAGAGGGAGACAGAGCACGAGTGGAGGAGTGGCAGAGAGAGAGGGAGACACAGAATCCGAAGCAGGCTTGAGGCTCTGAGTTGTCAGCCCAGAGCCTGATACCAGGCTCAAACTCACAAACCTCAAGATCATAACCTGAGCCAAAGTAAACCGACTGAGTTACCCAGGTGCCCCTGGAGCCATTCTTTCAGCAGAGATAATCAGATTAATGTCCCTAGAAAGAGAGAGATGGTGTGCAAACAGGGGAGAGGGGCAGAGAGGGAGAGAGAGAATCTTAAGCAGGCTCCATGCTGAACATGGAACCCAACACGGATCATCACGGGGCTCAATCCCACAACCCTGGGATCATGACCTGAACCAAAATCAAGAGTCGGACACTCAACCAACTAAGCCACCCAGGCGTCCCTTGAAATTCTTTATTAACATTTTAGTAGGCTTTCAGGAGACTGCAGAGAGAGGCATGAATATTCAATCAACTGTATTCAACCAAAAATCTGAAACTTACATATTTTTTACTGTATATCCTCTTACTCTCTTTCAGGTTTTTTGGTTACCAGATACATATATTATTTTTCCATAAAAAGGAATCTTAAACCCTTAAACCAAAAAGGAAGAACTAATAATTTTAGAATTAAAATGAGAGAGAGGTTATTGCTTCAGCTCATTCATAATGCTGACAGGGAGGGTCAGTGGAAACATTAGAAGAGACTCTGGGAGAGGCACCTGGGGGGCTCAGTCCACTGAGCATCTGACTTCAGCTCAGGCCATGATCTCACAGTTCGTGAGTTTGAGCCCTGCGTTGGGCTCTGTGCTGACAGCTCAGAGCCTGGAGCCTGCTTCTGATTCAGTGTCTCCCTCTCTCTCTGCCTCTCTCCTGCTCATGCGCTCTCTCTCTCTCTCTCTCTCTCAGATAAATAAACATTTAAGAAACTTTTTTGAAATAAAAAGAAGAAAAGAAAAGACTCCGGGAGGACCCTTCACTACAATTGACGTTTTCAGTATCTTTCACAGTTGTCGTCCCCGCACTCCTGAGATACTGAGACACATTGAATGCCTCTGTCCGTCTTCTATCTTAACATGGCCCCTTTCCCTTGAAAATCAAATTTCTTTTTATGGATAAAAAAATCACTATTCACTGAGTGACTGTAATATACGAGAGATGCATCACTTATATCTGAAGACTCACTCCCCAGGAATATCTGCAATGCAATCCAGAGATTCCTCTTCTTTCTTCTCCACCCTCTTCCTCTACCCACCCTGTTACCTTCCACTCCTTCATTAGTCTCCTTGGGGATAACAAAAAGGGCTATCCTCTTCTGGATAAAAGGAAAAGAGTCAAGGGAACTATATTATTTCCCCCCAGCTACCATTCCTGAACTGTGATCTGATGAAGAAGTTAAGCCTGACTATTTTTCCTCTTCAGATGATATGGACACTGCCCCTCTGTCTCGGGTTGGCTTTAAGAAGCCAGCTAATCAAGATACAGTAGGGAGGAGAAAAGAAGGGAGGGAATGTGAACAGGATTTGGAAATGAGTTACTTCTTCCATTATGTGCTTGAGCATCCACTTCTTCGGAGAGCAGCCGAAATGAACTGCTATTTCATTTGCACCAAAGAGACTATGATAAATATAATTTTCCTTCCATTCTTCACATACATGTGGAACTGTTTCTCGCTCCTCCCTTTTGTTCTTTCCTTAAAAACCAGTTACTTTGGTATTTGGGTATTTTCCTGTGTTCCCTAGGAAATAACCCTCTCTCTGTTAGGAAGACTTTGTGCAGATGCGACCCCATCTATCTTACGTTGTGTCTCTAAAGAGAAAATCATATACATCATTATTTGGGGGGATACCCTTGACCAAAGTCACAGGACTTTGGAAGGAGGAGACAGAGATCACCACTGATTTTTTTTTCTTTTTCAAGTTTTTATTAAAATTCCAGTTGGTTAACAGAGAGTGTATATTAGTTTCAGGTATAGAATTTAGTGATTCATCACTTACATATAACACCTCGTGCTTTATACAACAAATACAATCCTTAATGACCATCATTCATCTAGCCCATCCCCTACCCATCTCCCATCCACCAATCCTGTTTGTTCCCTATCATTAAGAGTCTGTTTCTTAGTTTGTCTCTTTTTGTCCCCCTATGTTCATGTTTTGTTCCTTAAATTCCACATATAAGTGAAATCATATGGTATGTGTCTTTCTCTGACTGACTTACTTCGTTTAGCATAATACTCTAGCTCTGTCCACCACTGATCCTTGATTAAAGATGACAGATCCAATTTCTCATTTCTATAAGAGGGTGTTAAGTTCAGGGCCTGGTCAGTTCCTATTCTTCTGCTATGTCCTTGAAGTTGATCTGGATGATCTTTACACCTGCCAGAGTACCTGCAGGTCAAATCATAGTAGACTTTCCTGAAACCAGAATGAATCATGAGGACCCGTCTTTGGCAGATGCATCCTGACTGGCCCTGTGAATTCACATCCACAAGCATTGTAGGGGATGTTTCCTAGGTTTTCCCATCCCTCTCTTTATAAATCATCACAGCCCAGCTGAAGTCATAGGTCACCTCTGTGGTTCCCTGGGTCTTCTCTGAGTATCCTTAAGCTAAGTAGGGGCCTATTGCCAGAGTGTGTGCCCAGTTTACAGTGAGGGACTCATTTCTCTGTTTCCCGGTCCTGGGAAATACAGAACCATTCCTTAATTTTTTTTAATGTTTATTTATTTTTGACACAGAGACAGAGCAGGAGCAGGAGAGGGGCAGAGAGAGAGGGAGACACAGAATCTGCAGGCTCCAGGCTTTGAGCTGCGAGCACAGAGCCCGACACAGGCCTCAAGCCCATGAACCATGAGATCATGACCTGAGCCAAAGTCGGAAGCTCAACCGACTGAGCCACCCAGATGCCCCCAGATCCATTACTTTAGTTTGAATTGCCAACCACTAAGAAAGAGAGTTTACCCTCATCTGTGTTTTTATACACATTGGCACTGTAGGATCTTTCCTGGAAGGAGGGCCCATAGTTGAGATACAATAGTATCCAAAGAGACCAGGCTTTCCTTACCATAGACTCAGACAGAGGAAGGCAGAAGAGGAAGATAAATACTGCATATCACTTATCTATGAGATTGAAAAAAGCAAAACTCATAGAAACAGAGTAGAATGGTGGTTACCAGGGGCCACAGGGTGGGGGAAAGGAGGAGACGTTGGTCAATGGCTACAAACCTCTAGTAAACAAATGAATAAGCACTGGGAATCTAACGTACAGCATTGTTTTGATGGCTAACAAGAATGGATCATATACTTGAAGGTTGTTAAGAGAGTTGATCTTGAATGTTTTCACCACAAAAAAAGTAAGGTGATTATGTGGCTTGAGGTAGCTGCTAGCTAATGCTATGGTGGTACACATTCTGCAATATGTTAAGTGCATCAAACCAACACATCGTACACCTAGAACTTACACAACGTTGTGTGCTAATTATCTTAGTAAAGCTGGGAAGGGGGGAAGAAAATAAATCAGTAGGACTTGATTCCTTATATCTCATTTAGTCTATAAAACATTTTCCCTAAAAATGATGAGATCTTTGCCGTTTTCCCATTTCAGAGATGAAATGATCTCAGGAAAGACCAAATCCACGTGTTTACTTAGCAGCAGAGCCACACAGAACTTCAGTAAATGTTTACCACCAGAGATTTTTTTTTTTTAATCTTGCAGGAAGAAATGGCACCCTGACGGAAAGCAGGAACGTTTCTGGAATTTGAAAATGAAGTTTGCACCTAGATTGACTCCTTCCATTCCTAGCTCAAAGTAACACCAACGTTCTTGAGGGCGAAGGCATCAGGAATCTGTTCGCTACTGTAGCCGTGGCCAGCAGAGACGCTAAATAGAGGGAACTCACTCTCCCACCCAGGCCGCCCACCTCCAGGCCCCTCCTGCGCCCCTTGAGGTTTGTGCTCAGTTCCCCCTGCAGCCTCTCTCATTGTGCCTACCGGGACGCAGTAGTACACAGCGGAGTCTGACATGCTCACAGAGCGTTTCTGCAGGTGGAAGGAGCTGTCACTCGTGACAAGACTGGCCTGAAAATCATGATGCTCTGTCCTCTGGTTCTCTGATACGTTGTTCAGGAGGAACTCAGGCTCTTTGTTTCGGTACTAGACATACCAGAAAACAAAAACTGTATAGCCACTCTGGTAAGTGCAGTTCAGGGTCAAAGACGTCCCCTCAAGGAGGGTAACAGGACCTTCTGTCTGGGCCACTGAGTCTCCATGGGTCCCTCCTAAAATAATTAAGATTTTGTTACTTAGGTATTTATAAACAGAAGGACAGTCCAGTGAGGAAATTGAGCCAGATATTCTCACCCACCTAGGAATAGGAAATCGTTTTTTAAAATATTGATATACCCCCTCAGCCACCTTCTAGCCCTGACACTGTACTTCTCTAAGCAATAAGCAGCAATTTGAATTGAGATGAGAGTTTGTCAAGATCT